AGGGCCAAGTGAAACCAAACTCACCATGTATGGGTATTAGAAGTTCACATGTTGAGTTTATGGGGAGGAAGTGAAAAATATCTGTACACCCTGTGGAGAGTTCCTGTATTTCAAGTTACCCTGTCCCTTGTATGGTAAGGCAGCATGTCAGAGGGGAAAGGCAGATGACATTTTGTGACATATGAAAAGTCATTGTACTTGTGGTATCACCCTTGACCCTTAAAGCTAGAAAATTCATTCACATATCAAATGAGTCCAGGAAAGTATGTTGCAAGGGTTAAAGTTCATTCTAGACTTAGGGGTTCCCACACTCTAGTTATTCTTGATTCTCTTGGGCTTTTTCTCATCTGATAGGACACATCCTGAATGCTGACTTCTGGCCCCACTGGATTTGGAAACCCTCATTCTGCCTTTTTGAAATCTTTGACCTCATCATTTCTTAAATGTTTTATGAAATAATACTTTGCACTATAATAATACTTTCCTTTAATACTTTGCACTATGGCCTTATGGATCCCTAAATCCTTGTCAGGTAGCACGGCACAGTCCTAAATATTTGATATGTTTTAATGCTATTTTATATAGTATGGATTTTGTATTTCATTTCCTAACTGATATCAAGGTAGAGACATACATTTAAATTTCACCTAGAGATCTTGTGGTATTTGCTCATTGTCAGTCTATTTAAATTTTCTATATAGACAACCATGTATTCTACAAATGTCAAAGTTTCTTCTTTCCTACCAGTGTTTACATCTTTTATTTATCTTGCCTTATGATACTAGTTTGGATTTCTGGGACAATTTTGAATAGAGCTAATGATGGTTGTTTTCCTGAGCTGGGGGGCCAATGCTTGGTATTTAGTCACCAAGCAAGCTATTTGTTTGGCACATTTTGATAGACTTTTCTGTTCCTAGATTACTGAGTTGCTTTTATGGACCCATCAAGACATATAAAGGTGAGAGGACTACTTCCACAGGGAGGTACCGCAGGAGAGGGAGGATGGGAGTCTGACTCCACTAAGACTGAGCAGAATTAAACACCAGGTAACATTTGCCTGTCTGCTCCATCTACCCCTTCTCTTCCTCCCAGGACACCCTGCCTTGTCCCCAGCAGCTAGACGTTTCCTAGAGTCAGTAAATTATAGAGGGGGCAACTGGGCCACCCCAGGAAAGGACCATATCAGAGCTGCTTATGGCTTGATTGCATATTCGGAAGATCACAGGACCCTTCAACATCTCCCATCAGTGGTCAGGCTTGATCCTGTGAAGTAGACAAACTGAGCCCTAGTTGGAGGAGAGGTTAAGGGTTGAGACTGGGAACATTCCAGTCCCACATGCCATTCTTTTTTATGGGCATCTTGGAATACGACTGTTTGAAAATTTTCCATTTCCTCCTTTTCTCTTCCTTATTTGGTGAATTTTGCGGTCAGCTCTCTGCGACAGGGGAGGTTGTTTTTCTGACTCTGACTTTTGGGAGGAGAGCCTTCTCCTATTCGTTCAATCTGTGCGGACTTCCGGCAGGAAATGGCACTCAAGGAAAGTTCTGAATAAAAGGAAGATGCTGTTTGAGCCAGAGGAAACAGGAAGTTGTTGCCTGAGTCTTATATAGAGTGGAGGAAAGTAAGGGGCAGGGAGAAAATTCACTTTGCAGAAATGGGAGGAGCAGAAGAGAGAGGAGTGAGAGAAAAGGAGGGTGGAGAGAACTCAGGAGCACAGAGAGGCAACCAGGCCACCAGATTAGAAGACCTTGAATCTCCTGGTGGTGCTGGCTGTCCTGGAAGAGGATGATGGCACTGTGTAGTGGGCCTGGGGTCATGCAGTAGCAGTAAGTCAAAGATACAGTGGTTTGTCGACCAAACTACTTTATTATGGTGTTATCCTATTCGAAAAGAGCTCTATTGAAATCACTACGATTTTTTCTTTCCATATGTTAAGAACATATACCTATATTCTAAAATCCCCTTCAGTAGAGAGAGAAAGAAAAAGCAAATGTGACAAAATGTTATAAATGGAAAAAGGGAATGTGACTGTTCATTATATTCTTCTTAAGACTCCTATAAATTTGAAAATTTTTGGAATAAAAATTTCAGCTGTGTGTGTGAGGAATAATAATCAATTTCTTAACTGTGGTATTTAGTTATATGCAGTATGTATACTATTAAAGTGTTATAGGCAATACAAATATGAATCTGACATTCTGCTCATAAATATTATACCAAACCTCATGGTTTGATATAAATGAAAAACCTTATATATAAATGAATAACATTTTCATTAAGTCTCAAAGGTAGACATTTTTTCAAGTTGGGGCCAGGTGGTGTTAACCATATTCCTGTTGCATTTGTTCATCTCACATGAGAAATGTCAGGGCTGTTGGTGGGGTCGAAGTGAGAAATGCTGCCTTGGTTTGCTATTGCTGTGTAACCCTTCATTATTTAGTGACTGAAAAGCAGTTCTTTATTATGGCTGCTGTGTCTGTGGGTCAGTTGGGGCTTGGCTGATCTATCCTGGGCAGTTTCATTTCACACAGCTGTGGCTGGATGAAAATACATGCTTCTCCCTGTAAATCTGTGGATTAGTAGGGATGACTCTGTTTCATGGATCGCTTAAGAAATGTTTTTCTCAGGAAATGACAAAATGTAAGAGGACAAGCAGAAATATATGAAGCCCTACAAAGCCTAGGCTAGGAACTCACACAGTGTCCCTTCAGCTCATACATCATTGGCCAACAGATATCACATGGTCAAGGCCAAAGTCATAGTGCAAGAACAAATACCAGGCTCACAGTGAAGTGCTGGCGAGAGTATGGATGCAGACAGGAGTAACAAACTGATGCTATGTATGTCAAATGCCTTGTAGTCATATCACACTTTGACTGTTATATTTTTATGAGAACATGAGTTTTTTTTCAGAAAATAATAGCTTCATGTGAAAGAATGTCACTATCCATCTCCTTAAATAACCACTTTCTTGTATGCAGAGCAAGAAAGTCTGAGGTTAAACTCATTTAAGGAAGATCTAGTGCAAATGCACATTTAGTCTCTTAGGCTTACTTGGGGCTGACTCTAGGTAATTTTCCATGGATATTTTGGGCCTCTGGTTCCTGCATTTATTTTTTCTTTCAGTGGCAATCAGTTCTCTTGAATTCTGACATCTTCATGCTCTGTCTTCTTCCCAAGCAAACTCTGTTCTGAAGAATGGATCTGGCAAGCTCTATCACAGTGAGGTGTAAGTGACTGATAAGGATTAAAATCTAAATGCCTCTAGGAGCATTATGCATTTGAACATGAGGGAAAAGAACTAAAGGCCCTAGAATGGAGGGAACTCACACAGCATAGAGTAGGGTGGAGAAGCAAAGGGCTCAGGATCTAAGGAACTAGGCAAAGACCTCAGAATCACATTCCATAGGATATTACATTTTTTTCCTAGGCAAGTTGCCTTCCTGGGTTTATGGGTAAGGGCAGAGGTACTGGAATAATCAGGAACATATGTCAACATAATTAATGCAGTAAATTATGCATTTAATATAAAGAATATTAAATAAATGCCCATCAAATCAAATGTATTTAACAAATTTTTATAAAGTTACAACGGTTCCAATTCTTACTTATAGTTACTTTGAGAAGCAAGTGAATAAATATAGCAGGCATTAGGCAGGAACTTTCTGAACTGTGTCAAGGTTAATAATAAGTAAAATGTTATAAGTAGACACAGGACAGCAACAGCTGTGCAACATTCTTGGAAGCAAGGACTCTGATAGCATGAGATCAGACAGTGAGCTTGTTTTTGTTGCTTCTTTGGGTGAACAGAGACTCCTTATAATAATTGCAAGGGAACTTGCATTTACTTTATAAATTACAATTGTTTTTCATGTAAAATTGAATGTCTGCAGCTGGAAGACCAGGGGCATATGGAACAATGTTGGAAGAAGACACAGATCAAACTTATGAGAATGTCCTGGCTGAGATTCAGTCTTTTGAGCTGCCCATTGAAGCTACACTAAGGTAGGGCACCTTTATATTTCATTGTTTCTTCTTTGGTGGCCTTTTCATTTTCCTTTTTTATACTTTATAAAATAACAGAATTTTAAAAAACTATATTTTTACAGAACAGTTGTAGCTTTGTATACACTTATTCTCACAGTTTGCTCATCTTTAAAGAAATTACAATAAATAATTACTCTACTTTTTTACATCATGTTTCTTTCTTAATTCATTACCACAGTTAAAAAATATAAATGACCTTCAAGTGACCACAAAGGACCTATACCATCTCAAAATAGGTGTTTTGTCTTTGTTTATGTGAGGTTTCAATTGTTTTCGTTAAAATATCTTTCTTTACAATATCACTAAGTGAAAAAAAAGTCTATAATGATTAGACATATCAATAAAACCAATTTATATTTGGGTAGATGTAAGTTGTAGAAAAAAATATAGAATGTTTGTTTCATGTTGTTGTTGCTCCCTTGGATATATCCTGACCTCTCATATCTGTATTTTTTTAAATTTTCATATAAGATTTAAAAATAGCTTCTTTGGTAATACGGGTATTAATTTGCACAGTTCAAGAACAGGATTAAAATGAAAGACAGTGTGTCTTTGTGTTAAAGGGCAGCTTTGAAATTTTAATCCTCTCTGAGTGTCTGCCTAGATATGACAATTATCAGTATGGGAACAAGATACCAATCACTGCATGTGATAGTGACAATCAATAAATATTTGTTGACTAAAGGTTGTAGATTAAATGGAAGGATTTTTGAAATGTTCCCTCTTTCCAAGAATGTCTTAGGGCCATGTGCTTTGAAACCCACTATAGTTTAAACCTGAATAAATTTCTCCCCCTATATTTGAATCTTATTTTGTATTAAACATAGTTTGAATGTCTTTGAAAGGCTTAGGGTAGTGCTGGGGCCACAGAAAACTGTTGTGTTTTACTGCTTAGTTACTGGAATATCAATATGTAGTTGCAATTGTGAAATAATTACAGCTCCATCATAACTGTTCAGTGCCCCTTCATCCTGGGTAGGTAATTTTTACCGTATTCAATAGATAAAAGAACTACTGTCTTTTAGAAATGGGAAACAATAAATTTCTTCATATGGGATATACATTGTACTGTACTGTACTTTATACCAACCAGCTCCTTCTAAAACTTGTGCTTTTGCCTTGTGGCTAGGTCAGAAGTCTAAAGGAAAGTGAGAGGGAGTGTAGGGGGTCTACACATGTTTTAGTTACTACGGCCTTTGCTGCAGAACGCTCAGCCTTCAACCCCTGGTCCTCTTCCCCATTCCCCTGGTCTCACACCCCTGGCCAACATCCACAGACTTTATCCATCCACAACTATCTTCTCTGCTGTCTTTCTCTGGTGGGAGACTTGACTTCCTGCCTGGGTTGTTGCATGCTTTCTTTCCTCTATTCCTAGGACAAATATCCCCAGAACCAGTCTTCCACCTGAGGTTCCTAACTACATCTTTGCCATCTGGCAGTCACAGTACTCTTCCTGCAGCACTCTTTTGAGTAGAGAGAGTGCAGATACCTTCCCCAGGTGCTGTCCTGTCACCATAGCCCAGTGGGCTTGGAATGCCCCCTTTAGCTTTGCATTTGGGTTAGAGTCCTCTTTTGCAAGGGCTATTTTGGGGAATAGAATGGAGTCACAGAACAGACCACAGACTGTATCTGGGTCAATGTTAGACACAACTGTTGCTTTGGTCATTTTACTAGATGAAGATGTCTTACACTGGCATTTGATGTCTTTTTAAAAATACCTATACATGCCATTGGTTTTCCAGTGAAACTGTTTCTATGGAACACATCATCAGCTCATTTGGCCAGATTGAAAATGGGGTTTGAAAAATAAATACAGGACATCCATTTTGGTCAAACTGGACTGTTTACTACTTGACAGTATGCGTAGAAATTTTTTCCTTTGGAGATCGTCATTCCTTTTTCTTATTATTTGCTCCTACTTCTGTCTGCTGAAAACCTAACCCAACTTTCAAGGCCAGCTCAAATGATTTCTTCTATTAAGCTTCTCCTATTTCCTTCTACTAGGTGTGAACACTCCATTTGTTGAAGTTCCAGATAATCCAAGACATTTAGTCTTGTGTGTGTGTGTCGCATGATTTAGGTTATAATCACTTCCAGGCTGAAGATTCCTGAGGGCATGGCCTGTGTTTTACTTGTCGCTTAGTATCCTCTGTAGAAATTTCCACAATGCCTGGTACATAGTAGCTGGAGAAATATTTGTTGAACTGATTCATGAGCCTATGAGTTAATATAACCTTACGAGGTAAAAGCAAGGAGGCGGTCTAGAAAGAACATTGTCATTTCAGCAAAGAAGATAAAAGTATTTTAAAACTCGAGCTTAAGGGGTTTGGCAGGAAGTTGATAGTCTTTCAGAGCCATAATGGCCCCTCTCTGAGGCCTTGGAATGGATATCGAGAGAAAAGTTGGGACATTGAAATGATAGGGCTGAGAATGTGAGAGAAACATTGCCAGGGAAGACCGTGCACCTGGGAACTGAGGCAGGGAGAATGTCGGAAAATGGAGAGTTCCCTTGCTTGCTTTTCCCTGTCATGGAAGTTAGGCATTACTTTAACTCACATGTTCTTAACTCTGTTAATGTCCTTTCCCTGTCACCTTCTTTTTCAGGTAGGAATCTGAGGTGCTTTGGTCACCTCAGTGTTCATATCAGGACCAGGTGGGGTCTGCTTCTACAAGAGGGTAAGCCCAGAGAGTTCAGTGACTCAGAACTCAGAGGGGTTCCACTAGTTACCTGAGGAAGACTCAATTTCTGTCCTTTCACAGAGCATGCCGACCTTCCTGACACGCTCATCCCTATTCATCATCGGGGAGAACTGATCTGTATCTGAGGAATTGTCAGTGGGTTTTTTGGGACAAGGAGTCATTTTGGCAGGGATTGTCAATGGCCTAGTCTCCTCCACCAGGCTCAGGTTGTATTCCTTCCTCTCCTGATTTCATTATGTGTCTTCTCCCAGAGCTCCCCACCATCCTGTCTCCTACCTGACT